AAAACACTCTTGTTTCACCCTGTGACTGGAGCACAGGAACGAAAATAATATAATAACAATTACACGCAGTCAGGAAAATAAATTTAAAAAAAGCAATTTAACTTCAAAAACAAAAAACAATTCGCTTCAATAGTTTGTGCTGACTTTGTGCTGTTTCTCACTAAAATCAGTTGATATCAATCGAACTGAGCGTTAAAAATGAGCAAGTTTGAAACTGGCATGAACCACTGAATCACCCAAATTGGAAGGAACTTCGGTTTTTGATGTTGGTTAGCCCCGCTTTGGATTCAAAAAAAGCATCAATACTGTTTTCCATTGTCATTGAGCGCAGTTGCCGGACGTGTTGAAAAAACTGGACACAAGTGAGCAACGCCGCCTGTAAAACCGTTTGACTGGGCATTAGTCGCCTTATTTCGGTGGTTCCCCGAGGGTTATGGACTATATCGTTCGTGGTGTCTGCCCGCTACCCGTCGAAAATTGGTGTGTGGTCGGTTGGTGTTCAGTGGTGAGTCTTTTTATTTACTACTTTTAGCTCTAAGTCACTTCCTAGTTATTGATTAACCGGTTTGTCATTGTTCCTTCTCTCTCTTTCTCTTGTAAGTATCATAGAAAGTGCTGGCGAAACACAACGACAAACACCATCTACTGGCTGACGCGTTGTGGTGTTTCGCTGGCAACACTTCCCATATACACATACACATGTAACATCTCACTTCATCCATGCAGCAGCCAACGTGACAACACCGCTTGGTGTCAAATGCGACAAGTGACATGTGGTTTTTCACCCTCAGGTGGTGCAATGATGTCGAAGCCGCCCACTGGATTCACGCCGATACCGTTTGCGACGGCATCGCTGCCGTCCGGCCAATTTCTACAAACTCCTATTTTCTATTGGCCCTTGTATCCGAGTCCCCCTGTCTCACCAACTGGGTACTACATGGGACCGCCCCCAATCGGACCGTTGGGGCAGCTGCATCAGGCCCAACAACAGCGCCATCCGCTGGTAAGTGTCCGAACTGGGCGCTCGGGGGATTTAAAGGCGACAAACTTCAAGGGGTGATAAGGAGAATCAGGTTGAATTCGCATTAAAACGCCTGAAAATTACCGCAAAAAGCTCGATAGAAAGAGTAATAATAATAAGGGATGATAGAGGACGCCGCGAAGACTACTTAAGGAGATTTTTGTTTTCTTTGCAGACCCCAATCACCCCTTCGACTTTGTCGGACTGCCACTAACCTTAACTAGTCTCTTGGTTTTCATTCGCCACATTTAGAACGACGGGTAAGAATATACAAAGTGTCAAAATTTGACAAACCAGTTTGATGGTTGCCGGCCAACAGTCACACAACTGTCAAATATGACAGCTCAGCGATTCAAAGACTGTCCGAATTTCTGTCACCAAGCGATTATCGTGAACCGAATGCTTGTTCCATTTAGTGTTTTTATCAGAACTTCTTCCAAAATAACAAGTTGGCACACAGCTGAGGGTGGCATTTGCGATTTTTCAGATTCAAGGCGAATGCGTTGGCGTGACAGCGCCTCTGATGGGTCAAAGCATGCCCGCTTTACAGCCTCTCGATGCTATTCTGATCGAAGCGCGTCCTCGCCCGATTAGCTGTTGAAACCTTTCACCAAAATGCAGGTATCTGTCAATTTTCACTTCATTTTTTGGCCAGTTTTTTCACCGCCAACTGTCAGCTGTCACTGACCGTTAGTTGCGTCAAAAAGAAAACAAATTTGCCAAAATTCGCACGTTAATTGTTATTATTATTATTTAACTTCGATTAGTTCAATATACGATTAGGTTTGTATATTTGTTGCTGTTTCTTATGTCTCTCAGATTAAGATTATGTTATTTTGTAGTCAATCTAGGTGATATTTTTCCAAACATTCAAACAACCGTTCGTGTAATGACATGGAGCAATCTAACGAAATGTCAAATATATTCAAAATGGCGACTGGCAGGCAAACTCGGCACTAATCAAACAAATATTGTGCTTTTTCTTTAAAAAATGTCGTAACAATCGCGGTCACACTTGGAGCTTTTTTGCATTCTTACAAAAAAAACTTTCTTCGTTCAAAAAAACGTAGGTATACCACGAACCAACCTTACTTTGCCTGTCAACTGTCAAAACAGTCACTTGATGTGGATTGCCCTGTTGCATGGATTTGTTTTTATGGTTGGACTCGGTAGCAAATATGACAACATGTTTTTGGCACTCACTACTTTATGGTCTCGACATGTTTGTTTTATTTTTTTTAATTTTTCGACGTTTTGTTGCCAAAAATCCGGTCATAACCTCGATGTAGTTGAAGCCAGCTAAGACCCAATTGGCGCCCCGAACTGTTACAACTTGCCGTTAGATTAGGGTTTTTCCATATGAAAAGTAGTCAGCAAAAACGCTCAAAAAAGTGCAATAAATGGCAATATTTCGTATGTTAGTGATATGTCTTTAGTCAGAGCGTGCGCACGGTTTGTAACAAAGAAACGAAGCTACTTAGATAGGTTAATTCGATATTAAGCTGTTAAGAATATTTTTCTAGGCTCTGTTTATTGCTGAGTCAATTGGAACTCGTGGCTGGCAAAAGTGCAGAACGGCTAAACTATTGTCTATTGAATATAATTCCAATCAAATTCATTCCTGGGTTTCAGTCATTTATTGTCTCTATTCATCAATCAAAATACGTTTCGGTGTATTTTTCCACCATCATCAGTTTTTATGTGTAGCGTTGTTGCTGCTTTAAGCCTTGGCATGGCACGCTACACATAAAAACTGATGATGGTGGAAAAATACACCGAAACGTATTTTGATTGATAAATAGAGACAATAAATGACTGAAACCCAAGAAGGAATTTGATTGGAATTGAAACACAGTCAGGAAAGTATATACTTACATGAATATAATCTAAAAATTGCCGTTGCTTTCGGTGCACGTTGCCAGTTGTGGTTTAATTACGAGGACCCAAATGACATTTCAGATCAACATTTTTGACAGGTCATTTGGTCGGTTGTGCCCGATAAGAGATAACCTGCAATGACAAGTAGAGTTTTAAGACAGTCGTAATATTAAATACGACCTGCGGGTCATTTGACGTAAACTGACCGAATGATGATCCAATCCATCCTGCATATGTTTCTAAGAGACATTTCTCACAAATGCCCCGCAGGTTTTTGCAGCAATGTGATTTTTTATATAGTTTTACTACTCCAGGCTGGCCCAGTTTTAGCGCAGTGAAAATTGGGAAAAAAAGGGCCTTTTAACAATAACAGGCAACCACGCTTTTCATAGCATAACGATCCGGATGCGATTTTTCCGCGACTGAAACTGGGCTGCCCTGTATATATGGCAACATAGCAGGCAGTGAGCGCGCTGCGTAGCAAATCCTTTAACTCTATAGGCATATTTGAATAGAACTATATTATTATATGGTAAATCTGATCGATTTATACAATGTTTTTGTTTTCACATTATAGTCAATAAATATCAGTTGTTGAAAGTTTGTCGCTTTTTTTCCTGGCTAGTAACAGGAGGTGTGTTGGTGATAATGTCAGTCTGACGGGCAAATGTCACAGAGCAAAAACGTACACAAATGTCACATAACATGTGACACACATGTCATATGACACACATGAGTGACAGTTGACAGTGACAGAGTGAATGTTTCTCCATATCTGACTCATGCGAAACAAAGCTGTATGTTTTTGATGGCATTTGAAATGTCACGTGACACCGATAATGCGGCCTTAAGCTGGATTTTGACAGGGGACAAATACACCTTTGGCTTAAAACGGGCTGCTACGGCCGCATGAGGGCCCGTTAATTATGAAAATTGGACAAAACCAACCCGAAATTCATGGGGAGGGTTCGAGTTAATAAAGCGAGATCATTACAAACCGGATTACGCGCGGTAACCGGGGACAAACTGAGATAATTCGGTCCTTGGGGGCTTTGTTGGCGCCCCCTTTATTGAAATGGAAGGGTGCCCTTCAGGCGCTTTCCTGTTTATTCCGTTCGGCAGGTTGATCGGTTTTGATCCACTCAACTCTCCGTCTTGATTCGATCAGCCGCTCTAAACGAATCCACGTCAGTGATCACCGCATAATTTGATTAAAAGTCGAAAACAAGGGAAACATTTGATACGTCCAACATGGCTGCCGCCTTCAGGAATCCAGCGGGGGTTTGACAGTTGATTGACAGTTGCAAGGCTCGACCCGAACTTGACAGCGGCTTCCGGCCGCCGTTGATTTTCCGATGAGACGAAGAGATGCCAAAGTGGGCACACGTGAAATAATAACTGGCACGTCATTGTTTCCAGGCCAATGCGATGGCACCGACATAAAACGGGCCCATTCTTCCTTCGTCCCAAGCCGGGTAATCGGAGAGGTTTTTTAGCCAGTTTTTCGGAATTTCGTCCCGTCCCTTTCGGACGAAATTATACAAGAACCATGTTTGGCCATTCAGGTGGAAAACGAGAGTTTTTGGGGCCGCGGATCGGGTGTCGTCTCTTGTCGATCGCATTTATTGTGATGCACAATTTTGGATAAGGGCCGAGTTCAAAATTTGCTGGCAAAAAACAGTCGTTGGTAATTAGGGCGGTCACGTGCCGACGTCAACGTCCATCCGCGTCCCTAATCAGCGATTCCTCTTTGTTCCCTCCTGCCACTAGTGATAGGATGAATCGAATTATTAGATTATACAGGGTTATTCACGCTATACGGCACGGACGATTGCGGCTAGCCCGTTTGTTTTTTGCAAAGTATTATTTGATGAATCCACAGACGCCTATCGGGTGCACATTTTAAAAATATTTTTGTAATGTACAG